ACTAGGACAGGATTTCGGCTGCAGTGGGGCTGCCCCTTCTTGGACTTTTTTGCCTTCTTCACCTTACCCTTTTTACCAGTGCCACTGGCAGAAGCCTTCTGGGCTTCAAATTTCTTCTCTTTAGTGTCTGGCTTCTCAGTTTTTTCACCCGCCATCTTGCAAGATGGGAAAGAGCTTCAGCCTGGCTTTGCCAGTTGTTGACCAGAGGACATTGCGCAAGCCTTCCGGCTTCCATGTACCTCAGGTCCCTGCATGCAAACCAGGGATGGTGCTACTGACCTTTCAGAACTATTGTGTCTATCACATGATACAAGCTCTTGGCACCAGGTGCTCCTTCCCAGAGCTGGACTCCGTTGTTTGGAGCTCATCAAAGGGAGGTGGTAGGGACGAGGGACGGTGCCCACGGGTGGGTCACATATTCTGCAGAGGAGACAAGAGTTGCTGAGGCAGGGCGAGGCTGGGGAACATTCTGTCCCTGCAGTTTGATGTGCCTAAAGGGAGCAGCAGCCAAGCATGAGGAAATGAAATAGATCGGCTGGAGTTGGGACGTGAGGGGCCTTACGTCAGGCTCCACATTCAGGACTCAGCTGTCACATGGTGGAGCAGTCACTCCTGTAGGAATTCGACATGTGTGGACGTGGATTCAAATTCTGGTTCATCCACTTGGTTGAGGTAGTCTTGAGCTCTTGCCCTTGGTCTTGGCTTGAGGTCCCAGCAAAGCAGAACCTGAGACTTCCATGCTGGAATTACACTCAGGAGGCCATTTGTGAGGCAGAAAGGGCAGCAGCAGGAAGAATGGCGGGGCACTAGGAAGCCCTCAGACAGGGCAGCTGCGGGGAGCAGGACCTGGAGCGGAGGGGTTCGGGCGAGGGAAGCTGGGGAGGGCTGAGCGGCTCAGTAGGACAGCTGAGCGGGCTTCAGCTAAAGGCCAGGGTACTTGGGGAGCACTTGTTCAAAGGCGGTGAATTGAAAAGAAGAAAGCTCTAGCATAACTTTGCGGTTCCTCACTGCCAGAGTGACGGAGAGGCATGAGGCTGAAGCTGCAGCGCCACTCCTGAGGCCCTAGCAATGTGTTCACATGCTCATGGGATTTGTAAATTTAGGAAAAGTAAGATATTTTAATATTTTTTTTTTCTGAAAGAGGGCTTTCTCAGAATTGTATAAGCGTCAGCCCCACAAAACCTAGATCCACCTCAGCGCCTATCAAGTTCAAGAAACCAAGAAATGGCCAGGCCTGGGGGCCACGCCTTAATTCCAGCACTTGGGAGGATGAAGCAGGAGGATCTCTGTGAGTTTGAGGCCAACCTGGGCTACATAGCGAATTCAAGGCCAGTCTGCACTACAAAGCAAGACTATGTCTCAAAAAACAAATTTAAGGGCTGGCCAGATAGCTCAGTGGACTATAAAGTGCCTGCTTAGGCAGGCACAGGCACTGGGGTTTGATCCCTGGTCTGCCGTGCTGGTCCTGCCCCCTGGGGTGCGCTGAGATGGCGATTGAGACTAGGTTTGGTGGTGTACACCTGTAATCCCAGCACATGGGAGACTGAAAACAGGAAGATCACTACCAATTCCAGCTGTATAGTGAGACCCTATAGACCTTGTACCAAATACCTTTTTTAAAAAAAATTTAAAAGGAAAGAAAAAGAAACCAAGGGAGGCATCCACAGCTTAGTCCCTTCCATACTTGCTGAAAAGTTAAAATTGAGTAGAGAAATATCTTCCTTGTTGACAACACGGTCCCATGGCCTTGTTCTAGAGATTACCTGTGGGTACCTCGGCAGGACATCCTGACCTAAAGAGACACCCTCGTGAGCCTGGCCAGCTCCCAAGGACAGTCCCTTACATACCTAAAGACACAGACATCTGTCCCTGGAGACTGCAAACTCCACACTTCTGGTCACACACAGTTGGGACACTACCAACTTTTGCCTCAACCACTATTAAGGGGCTTCACTGGAGGGGACTTTGGAATCCCATCGTGGAGAGGATTCTCTCCACAGACCCTTCCCAGTTACGATCCTGAAAGCCATTGACACGATTGTTCCAGAGCTGGAATTGGAATTTCACATGTTGAGGCTCTTCTGATCTGGTGATGTAACTTTCTTTCTGTACTTTTCCTTCTGTGTAATAGGCTGTGTGTGTGTGTGTGTGTGTGTGTGTGTGTGTGTGTGTGTGTTGTTATGGGTCACTCAGCATAGGAACCAGATCAAAGATTAAAATTTGAATAGAGCTATTTTATTTACGAGCTCAGGTCTCAGCCAGTTCTCATGCAGGAGAAAGCTGAACCCACTCCTCAAACCCAGGTAGCAGCGGGTATTTATAAAACTCACATCCTGTTTGGTAAGCGAATTCATGGTTAGGGAGGGAGTTTGCTTCAGCTTGTTGCCTTGACAAGAAACAGTTATTTACTACTAAACAGCCTTGAGCAGAGATTGAGAACACATTCCTTAGAGTAGATAACAGGAAGCACAAGGTTTTTTCTAGTAATTTCCCACAGTTATAACACAAAATTCAGTTAATCCATTACATGTGTGTGTGCGTGTGAACTTTATTTTGGGGGATTGCCAGGGATCGAACTCGGGACCTTGTACTTGCCAGCTAGGGCCTTATGCCACTGTGCTATCTCCCTGGCTCCAACAGTTTATTAATTTTGTTTCATTGTTTTTATCTTAGTGTTAGGGGCTTTTGTTGTATACAAATTCAAGCCCCTCAATTAAGCAGCTGTGACAAACAGCTGTAGTCTCTTTTAAGCTACACTGGCCACAACACCATAACATGAATGTTAACTGTTTCTTGGCTGACAAAGCCGTGGAGACTTTGAGAATAGTCACTGTCCCAGGTCTCACAGGAAGTGGTACAACTGGGATTTAGAGTTCAGTTTCCATGGCTGGGGTTATACCTCAGTCATGTGCAAGGCCCCAGTTTCCAACCCCAGCACTACCCAAAATCCTCCAGGCTCCTGGCTTGGGGACCACAGCCCTCTGTCATCCAAATCCCTGCCCAGGCTGGGGAGATAGGCTCAATAGAATAAGTGCTTGCCTGGCAAGCGCAGGGTCCTGAGTTCAATACTCTGTAACACACACACACACACACACACACACACACACACACACAAAATCTCTGCCCTACTCTACCCTACCCCTGCCCTGCCCTGCCCCCTCCCTCCCTTCCTTTTCTTTCCTTTCCCTTCCCTTCCTTTGCTTTCTCTCTTTCCTTTTTCTTTTCCCCCTCCTCTTCTTCCTCCTTCTCCCTCTCATCTGTCTCTTCCTCCTTTTTAGCAGTACTAGGGATTAAACCCAAGGAGCACTCACTGGGCTACATCCTCAGTCCTTTCACTTTTTTATTTTGAGACACAGCCTCATTAATTTGTCCAGGCTCGCCTCCAACTTGCTATCCTCCTGCCTCAGGCTTCTGAGTAGCTGGCATAATGGACATGCCTTACCATACCCAGCAAAGAAAGCCACTTCTATGTCCTTGAGTTTCAGCCTAGAGGAAACGGCAACAAACGTCAGCAGGTAAGAAAGAAAAGCAGCCCCGGGCTCCAGAAGCCTGCCTAGCACTGGGCTGGCTTTGGTGTTTCCATGCTGAACACAGACTTCACAGAAGAGCAGCCGTGCTGGTAGAGAGACAGCCCCGCCCAGGCTGGCCTTGACCTTGTGACAATCCTCCTGCCTCAGGCTCCCAAGTACTGGCATGTGGTGCTGGGGGATTGAACCGCGGTCCCTGATGCTTTGCTAAGCTTGTTCTAAGTAGGTGCTTTAGACCACTGAGCCATCTCTCCAGCCCCACAACAAATGTTTAAAACAAAACAAAGTGAGTGCACTTTCATATTTTACTGGAAACCTATTATACCTGATTGTGAAAGCCTTATCCACTAACTTGAGCAGGTAATGAGACAGAAGACGAAGACCTGACCCTCCCCAAGAGGTGCTTTTCATTTTTTTTTGTGTGGAGGCTGCCCCAAATGCCTTCTGGCCAGTCTGGCTACAGCAGATGGCCCAGGGCCAGTCAGGGAGACATTTGCTTGGCTGTAGCAAGCTTCCTTCTTAGACTGACCCAGGATGACTCTGCCCCACAGCTCTTTTTAGTCAAGTCAGTGAGGAGCCCCTTCCCCACCATGATAAAACAGAAAGCCTGACACTGTGCGCAAACCCCCCTCCCTACCTGAGCACCCTCAGCTCTCAGTGGGTCAGCCCATGTACTCTTCCGCCTTAAGCTACAGCATAGGTTCTAATAAAACCTTGTAGATGGCATACAGAGCACACTGAACTAGTCCAGTGAGAGCTGAAACCACTGAACACAGCCAGCTGCCAGCTTCAGGGGCCAGAAGAGATGGCAAGTCCCACTGGCAACTGCTGACTCTGAGCCCCAAGGAGGGCCACTAACGCTAAGAGCCGATAGCTACTGATGTTCAAAGTCCAAGACTTTATAAGAGCTACACTTTGCAAAAGAGCCCTCACCCAATTGGTAACTTACTGGTGGTCCACACAGCATCCTCCCCTTTGGAGGGCTCTGAAGAAGGGGGCAGGCAACAGTGACTGTCATCAGCAGTGGAGAAGTAACTGAAAAAC